AAAAAAAAAAAAAAAAAAAAGGTTGTATTTTTTTATCCTTACTCAAGGATAGGTTTATTGATTTGAGAGAGAGAAATATTGATGTGAGAAAAATATTGACCAGATGCTTCCCAGACACGCGCTGACATGAGATCAGCTTGCAACCCAGGGAGGTGCCCTGACTGGAATCGAACCTACAACCTTTTGGTGTATGGGACAAGGCTACAACCAGCAGAGACACCTAGCCAGGGCACTGACACTGATGTCTTTTAAATACTACAGCTTTTATAATTCATTTCTTCTACAATGAACAAATATTTACAGATGGTCTATAATCTGGCCGTTCTAGAATCACAGGATACAGTATCCACAAGGCAGCCTGCTCTCATGGGGCTTACAGGCAATTTCTGGGATTCAGAAAATAAATTTTAAAAATAAAATTTCAGATTGAACTGGTGGAGAAAATACATGGGGAGAGGGAAAGGTATCAACTAGTTACTTTTAAATAGATAAAGTTTAAGTTGAGAGCTAAAAGATGAGAAGGGAAAAGCTTTGTGTGACAATCCAGTGAGAAATGTTGTAGGAGGAAGGAAACTAAATTGAAAAATGCCCACTTAGGGGTGCACTTGGCATGTCTGAGAGAGGACCATCCTCAGGGAGAGAAAGACTAGAAATGGCTGTCAGTAAAGAAAGGAGCGGTTCACCTAGGGAATCCCTTAATAAGGAGTTTGGATTCTACTTCAAGTGTGACTCACAGGCAGTAGAGGATTTCGAGCAGAAGAGGGAGTTAGTTCCCTGATCTGATTCATATCTGAAGACGTTTTAGGAGTGCTGAGCACTGGGATTGAAAATGAGAAGTGCAGATAAAAACCCCTGCCTTCATTGCCTAGTGGGAGAGAGAACTTGATTCTCACCCTTACTGTAAGGAGATACACCACTGTGATTAACTAATGGGTAGAATCGTAGATAAGTCATTTGAAGGAGGGACCGGTGCTATGACTATATTTGCCATAGGAAGGTGTTTGGATAGGAGAGGGAAAGGGATGGAGTTGGGACAGCTTCCCTGAGGGCCCAGGGACGAAAGGAGGTGAGTAGGCTGGTGGCACAGTAAGAGCACTTCAGAGAAGCTCTGGCAAAGTAACAAACTCGGGGCTTTTCAGATCAGAGGAAAAGGCCTGCCTACCCGAACAGTAGAGCCAGGTTTAAGAGGCACTTAAAGGGAAGGCCTGGAGCCCCAGGACCTGGTGGTGATAAAAGGTTAAAAGCTGCTGATTTAGACTTTCTGCTATGTCATCTCTGAGAGTTTTAGTTTCACAGTTTACATTTAGATCTGTAATTAATTTAGGCTTAATTATTCTAAGGGTGTAAAGTCTGTATCTAGATTCATTTTTTTGCATGTGGATTTCTAGCTGTTCCAGCACCATTTGTTGTAAAGACTATCTTTGCTCCATTGTATTGCCTTTGTTCCTTTGTCAAATACCAATAGGCAATATTTATGATGTCTCGTTTTGGGCTCTCTGTATTACACTGATTTTCTCATCTATTCTGTCACCAATACCACACTGTCTTGATTACTGTAACTGTGTAAGTACATCTTGTTAGGTTAGCATCAGTTCTTTAACACCGTTCTCAGGATTTTGTTCTTGATATTTTTTCCTAATCTGTATTGTTTTCCTACTCTGTATTGTTTTTCTCTTTAGAATGTTAATTTTTAAAAACAGAGATCTTATATTACATGCTGATTAATATCCATCTTATTTAGAATTTTCTTGATAGGAAAAAATTGAGAGCATAATGATTAGTATTTATTTAAATCTATATACTTAATTATGTTATGAAATATATCAGGAGATCTGAGAATTTTATTACAGTGAAATAACACATTAACTTTATTATCTGTTAATTAGTATGATTTGAATAATCTTTATGTATATAAAATGCACTAGAAGAGGAAAAACCAATCTGGATGAAATGTGATATAAATGACATATTTCCCAAAAAGGCTGGCATTTCTTAGGTTTCCCTTAGATTTTTTTTTTAAAGGGAAAAGTAGCTCTAGTGGATATTTGTGTATATCTCCTGAAATACTGAACTAGGCACTGGATTGTGGAACACAAACAAATACAAAGCAAATTACATCCTTTCAGAAACTAAATAAAGCATATGATAACTTGTTAACAGAATTACCAAATGGGGGGAAACTAAACAAAGCAAATTACTTACTTTGATCATCCATGATTTAGAGTTCTGAAAAAGAAGATCTGCTATTAATAGATTATCTACAAATGTATAGGTCCAATATGACTGCTGAAACAAGATACTCTGAAACTATATAGTCCCACACATGGTATATTTCTCTTTATTCTTCTTATCTATACATATCTGGCATTTAAAGCCTTTTGGCTGACCCATTCTCATTGCTATGTTTTTTAGTAGGACTTTAGAAGTTGTTGGTCAGCCCAGGATGGTGAATAATTTCTAAAAACCTGGGAGGAGAGGGCTCAATGAGGCAAAACGCCATGAAGAAACACTGTGAATATAAGACCCCGATGGTAACTAAGTGAGAAACTAGAGCCTTCACAACTTACACAACCTACGGAGATGATCTAGGTGATCTAGCACCTAGCCGCAGGGCTGGGCTCTGGCATGAGGAGAAAGGTTAGCAATCAGGTGGCACGACTGCAAAACTCTCTGAAATTCCGAGGCCTGTGGGTGTGTTCTGTCCAGCATGCGCAGTACATTTGTGTAGACCCCACCCCTGCTCTGTGCAGCCATCCATGATTTTAGCTAGAAAACCTACTCTCAGGTGTTGTAGGAGCAGTAGCACCCTGACAAGCCAATGGAAACTTTGGGTTGCTTATTTTTACAGAAAACAAACAAACAGCCCAACAAAACACTGTGCTCAGTACTTCTGCCTTGCAGTGCCTTGATCCTGTCCTACCCTTTCCTGTGGAGGGAAAGACTACTTTTCCTATCTCTCCACTTTAACACTAACGCCCATATGCTTGTTAATTACAATTAACAGATGACAAAAAACATCCACTCCCTGTGCGTTTTATCCTGGACCCACACCCTAATATTAATTAGTCCTACCCCTCTCCTGCCTTGACTGCCCTTTACTAACTCTCCTTACTGTGTCATCATAGTGGTAAGTAGACGTCAACTATTCTCTCCATATGCTGGACTCAATCCCGGTTTCTCAAGAAGCAGCTACGTCCCTTCTCTTCGCTTCCAAACGATCAGCATGCGAGGCCCACCCCGTGCGCTAGGACCACGCGGGGAGATGGAAAACCAGCAAAAGTAAACACAGCACGACACGCCCTAAGTGCTTCAACACGTCTGACGGCTGGGAGACAGCTGTGGGGCGCTAGCTTAGATGGGGCGTCGAGGAGGACGGGCCCCAGAGCGGAGGACGCGTATCTGGAGAGTGGGGGGCGCGCGTTCTCCACGGAGCTCCCCGCGCTGGGCCGAGGCTGCGGGCTCGTCTCCTT